AGGTACTTTGTGGGGTGCTTTATTTACATATGGAAGTGGGCTCCTGCCAGGCTGCCAGACTGCCTGAGAATCACACAGGAAAACCTGGCATTTCCAGAGCCAGAGGCCATGTTTCTGTGACAGCTACTTCAAAAGACGAGTCAGGAAGATGCCAGGAAAGCACCCTGTTGACAAAAGGAGTCTCTGCATTTGAAGCCGAGCCCATGGGCTATCCGGTCATGAAGAGACTGCTACTTTACACAACACGGGTCCCCAACAATATCTGGTTTGATGTGGAATACTCTAAGACCAGTGGAGTGTTTGGCATGCAGTAGTTGTATAATAAGTATCTGTGAAATCAGTTGATCTCACATGGAAGTGTAGAAGCATTTGCAATGTGACCCAGTTAGAAATATTTAGTATGTTTTGTTTAGTGATTAATTATACTGACAGTTGCTTTCCTTACAGCTATTTTTGCCTATATTTTATAACAATTAAGTTGTAAAAAATAATTTAGTTGAAAAACATTCCACAAAATAACACATGATGGAAAACAAGCTAAATGTGTCAAACTTAGTGTTTAAAAAAAAAAAAGGAAATCTGGATGAAAAAAATAAGGATGTAGTACTGGGAGAGAATAGCCAGGAGTTGAAGGCCTTTTCAGAGCTAAGTGGAATTTGCTTTGTTGGTAATATTTAATCCATACAATAATTATTTGAGGTTATTATGTCTGTAAAAGAAGGCATGAAATTAAGAATCAGGTTAGAGAAAAGTAACCTAAGTTGAATCTTTGATATGTTACATGACCTACAAATAAGAGGCAAATGAAATAAATAAAAATTCTCCCTAGAAAGTCTTCAAGGTAAACCAGTACTGTACCACAAGTGATCCTTTTACTGATGTTGACTTCTGGGTAAGCTTTTGAGTTATTTATCTCACTGATTTCTTTCACTGTGTCTTCTGCCTTGAATATAGGGTTCAATATCCCCCTTTCCTCGCCCCCCCCAACGTATATATACTTACTTCCACCATGGTAAGTTCCATTCCCTCCCTCTCTGTTTTTGTTCCATTCCCCTTGCAGGTAATTGAGTGTATGTGTGTATTGCCTGCATGTAGGTCAGTGCACCTGTGTCATTCAATGCCTGAGGTGGTCAGAAGAGGCTGTCGGATCCCCTGGGACTGGAGTTACAGACAGTTGTTAGCTGCCATCTGGGTGCTGGGATTCGAACCCGGGTCTTGTGCAAGAATACCAGTGCTCTTAACCGCTGAGCCATCTCTCCAGCCCCAAAAACTTGCTTCTCTTGTCCTAATTTCTGAGTTAGCTGAAGGTTTGTGAACCTAGTAAAGCATCTTGATCTTCCTTCCGAGAGCTGTCAGCAATGCAAGTTCAGAAGTAGTGACTAGCTTAGTGCAGAATATCCCTGTAGATCACACAGGGAAATGTAAAGCTCTTAACAGTGGCAGTGTTTGAATGTCACCTACAGCACTATGCAGAAATAAAAACTGATCTTTCAACTTCCACCAGGTCCAGTATCTGTTGGGTCTTGTAAACTTAATCTCAGGTCTGTTATTAAAAAGAGGTTTGTAGGTGTAGCTTGTAGGCAGGGTGCTTATCTAGCAACCACAAGTCCGGGTTCATCCCCAGCACAAAACACAGCAAACTGCGGGAACCAGAAAGCCCAGGAAAGTCCCGGTGCTCTCTGGGACTTCCGTTAGGACGGTGAGATCCGTGCGTGACTGGACCTGAAACACCTGCGAAAACGCTCGCACTGGTGACAGCAGCGACCCGAACCCAGAAATCTTGGACAGGCGGGTCTCCAGGGCAAGGATGCCGCCACCTGTCGTGTGACGGAGGGGGGCGGCCCAGCCAGGCCGTGGGGCTCTGGGGCGTCTGCTGCTCTTCCCGGCTTGTTTACTGCTCAGGTTTGCTCTGCAGGTGGATTTAGATCTGCTGCTCCCCACGCAGGGTGAGACGTAAAGACACTCAGGACGCTTCATTTCTGCATGAAATGCCCTACATTATTGTGTATGGGTCTTAATTTTTATCAAAGTCTACCAACTACTATAAAAAATGACAAAGAATATATATATATTGGTCTTTTTGAGACAGGGTCTCCCTGTAGCCCCAGCTGGCCTGGAACTATGTAGACCAGTCTGGCCTTGAACTCACAGAGATCGGCCTGCCTCTGCCTCCGGAGTGCTGGGAAAGGCCAGCACCACCACGCCCCGGCAAGAATCGTTTTAATAAATAAAATGAGACAGGTTTTCCCTTAACGTCTGCTCTTTTCTGCCCTCCGCAGGTAGAAGGAAAGAATAGGAGAGAGAACCTATAAAACACCACGGGTTGCTAGTTAAGAGAAACAGGAACTGGTGATGTTTGAGAAGCTGAACAGTAGAATGTAGTCATGGGAAGGGGTTCCCGATTTATTAACAGCCCCCTCACTGTGGAAATGCTTCTGGGAACAATACACCCCGTTTTTCAGTAGATCTCCCTGTCTCCTGCCCTTACACAGATAAACACCAAAGTCTTCACTTCTCCCGGGTCAGGGTTTGGATCTCTATTGCAAGTCCGTTTCAGATGTTTGATATTGGGTTCTGGACACGGAATACAGATCAACGCTGTGACGAAAAGGTGCAGGTATTAAGCACTTGTGTGTGCTATGTGGACGAATGTCACAAATAGTGGATCCTCTGTAATGCAGCAGCCAGACATAATGTGAGATTTTTCTTTTTCTTTTTTCTGAAACTGTAGGGGTAGCTGCAAGATAACCAGCCATCAGGTGGCTTCGGGTTGCGAACAAAGGACCACTGGTTCTGCATGGCTTATTTTCTCCAGGCACCTACTTTGTGTGGACGTGGACGGCAATACCATCAGTGACATCATCTTCAAAAATAGACCTGAATATACCAACCTGTGGTGCCACCTGAGCCCAAACCAACGACCTGGGCAATGCAGTCAGAGTAACTATTATTCTGCGTCCAAACCCTCCAAGCCTGACAAAAAATAAATGCTAATCCTAAGCACGTTGGAGGCATAGATTTCATGGGAAAGAAAATGACGCCGTTTGCCTTTGTTTACATTTCATTATGCGGTAAAGAAAGCGAGTCACAGAATTTAATATCATTGTGCACATCAGAATACGTTGTAGGTTCGGATTAGTGAAACCTAAGCTTATAACTAAGTTACATAACTTGCTAATATTACACTCTGGGACAAAACTCTTCTTATCCAAGACATTTTCTAGAGAATTGATCTCCAAACCAGTGTTCACATTATCAGCATTTTTCTGCAACTGTGGACCGAATCAGAATGATTTGCAGAGTTCCTGATAGAAGAGGCAGCACTGCTTTACTGATCCGGCAAAAAATTCTTTGAAAAATTTATAGCTTTTAGTTCCATCTCCGCCTGCTTTGAGACTTAGTTGATTTTGTTCTATTTACCTTCATAATGCAAATAATACGGACTGAAATCCAGCTCACTTAAAAATTTTCAACATCTGGAAGCTTCAGCTTTCTAAGGTGAAAAGTGCTTGTTCGAAAGCGTTACAGGCGGCAGCAGAGCCGAGGATGGTGTGCACACGTGCGATCCTTCGGAGGCGGCAGAGGATCAGGAGTTCCAGGTCACCCTAGCTACGCAGTCGGACCACAGCTTCAGATATATGAAACTTGATAAAGTAAAGGGTATCCAGGAAGGAATGCAGGAAGACCTTGCTCTCTAAATACCCTCGACACCTGTTGGTTGACTCTGCCCAGGAGCTTCCCTGGGTGCAAACCACATTCTGGACTCCCAGGTGCCAGGCCCAGGGCTAGGGTGAGGAGGCAAGGACTGGGGAGGGAGTCTCACCACGTGCGGGGCCGTGACAAGCTCGTAGCGATTGCCCCCCCGGGGGCGGGGCCTGCCGGTGAGTGTTCCCTGGGGACCGACCTCTGTTTCACCCGCCGTCTGGGGCTGGTGCTGGGCGGCCGGCTCTCCTGCCTGCTCTTCCTGCGTGCCCAGTCGCCTCTTCCATGGGCTGCTAATTGGGAAATAATTGGTAAACTGAAATATTGCGGCGACCTCGCCTCTCTCCTTTTCCCAAATTCTCTTTGTTCCCTACTTTTCTTAGGGCCTTTTGTGGAGGTTTTGAGATTTATTTATATCCGAAGAATCCCTTATTCGGGTTGTTGCCTTCTGGCTCTGTCAATTCCAAACTCTCAATCATTTTAGTCTTTCCATTCTGTATCTTTTCGTGTATTTCACACCACATTTCCTGATGACAAATCACTTATTTCATTGCACCCTTCCAAACTATCACTTTGTGTTTATAAACTTTAAAAGCTATTTTCAAAGGCTTTTCCTTCCTCCCACACATTAAAGAGCTGGCAATCATTAGATGGTGAGAATGTATAAATTCCTTTTTCTCACACATCCTTATCTCTGTTCTGTCATCAAAGTTACTTTTTAGAAATGGCATTCTGTTTGAAAGTTACTTTGCTGCTTCTTCCTTTCATTCATTTAGAACTTTGCTGAGAATTGAACATTCCTGAGAATCATCTGTACTTTCCAGTGCATTTCTACTGTTTTATACCAAAGAAGCTAGAGGGGAAATTATTTTGACTTCAAGAGACGGATTTTTAGGTCACAAGATGTATTGTTGAAATAAAAATAAAACATTGAGATGGTAATGCTGAGTGGGAAGTGCGGGATTATTTCTGGGAATATTAGGTACTTGTGACATCACAAGTGCCAACTCTTACTATGTGGGAGGTTTGGGCTCATGCTCAAAATGCTATTGGTAGAGAAGCCTATGGTAGTGGTCCAGGTAGCTGTGACTCCACTTGCCAGCCCCTCATCAGAAGTGTAGACATACTTGCCTGCTGTTCCAGTAGCACAATTACCGTTTAAAAAAGGACCCCTGTGGCCCAGTGTGTGGCCCTCACCTTTAATATCAGCACTCAGGAGGCAGAAGCAGGTAGGTCTCTGTGAGATGGAGGCCACCCATCTCATTTGGTCTACACAGCCCATCTGGTAGATCACCCATCTGGTCTACACAGCAACTTCTAGGCCAGCTGGGGGTATAGGGAGACCCTGTCTCAAAAAAAAAAAAAAAAACCACAAAAACCAAAAATAGATAAAAATGTCTCCTGGGCTAGAGGGATGGCTCAGCAGTTGAGAGCTCATACTGCTCTTGGGGAGGATCTGTTTGGTTCTCGACGCCCACGTAGGAGGCTCACAACCTCCTGTAACGCAGCCTCATCCAATGCCCTCTTCTGGCCCCCATGAGCACTTGCACTCATGTGCCCACACCCACGCAGAGACACACATATGCACATAATTAAAGATAAAATCTTTAAAAACCCTCATTTTCGGGGATGGAGAGATGGTTCAGCAGTTAAGAACACTGGTTGTTCTTGCAGAAGATCGAGGTGCGCTTACCTACATGCAGGCAATACACACATACACATAAAATTAAAAAAAAAAAAACCCAGGGGGAAAAAAAAACCCTCATTTTCCAGGTTAATTCAAGTATAGGTACAGAGGTATATTTAGAAAAGCAATTAGGTAGCACAGAGCCTGGAAGATACAGGTGAATGTAAGCTGAGTCCGTGTCATGAACAAAGCCTGCAAAGTGCTTTAGAAGTTAAGATGTGAAATGAACTGTACTTCTACCTTTAATTTTAGTTTTGTACATCATTTGATAAACACCTATGTAGTACTTACCATGAACCCAGCACTGTTTGAAGCACTCTGCAGTTATTGACTTGTTGATCATTGGGATCGCTCCTGAGTCAGGCTCCTGGAGTCAAGGAGGTTAACATACAGAATCATAAGTTGAATGCTTGAGTGCGGGAGTTAAAGGTGTGCGCAACACCTGGCTATCATTCTTTCTTTTTAAAATGTATGTACTGTATTCATTATAATAACAGACTAGGTTATATATCACTCAGCAAAGAAAAAAACCTTTTAATTTCATGTGTTGCCTAACAATATTATTACTTGGGATGGTGGGGCTAGAGAAATGGCTCGGTAGTTAAGAGCATTTGCTGCTCTTGTAGGGGTCCTGGGCTTGGTTCCCAGCACCCACTGGCAGCTAACAACCATCCATAACTTCAGTTCCAGGGGCTCCGACACCCTCTTCTGGCCTCTGTGGGCACTGCACGCACATGGTGCACCTTCATACATGCAGGCAATGTACTCATACACGTAAACTAAAATAGATGAATTTTTTTTTCTTTTTTTATTGAGTTTTTTGTGTATCTCATACAGCTCAAACAATCTTAATCATCTTTATACCCCCATACCCACTGGCATCCTCCCATATCCCCCACCCCCACTGGAGCCCATACACTCGGTCATCCCTGTTAAAGCCTGTTGGGTTGTCAGTGTCCCCAGCCATTTCCCAGGACAAGTCCATCCACCAAGTCTAGTCAGCCTCTCTAGAGTCCCTTATTTTAGGAAGATAAAATATTTTTTAAAAAGAAAGAACCAAGCCATTAAGTAAAAAAAGCTTATGTTCCTCCTAAGAGCCATTTTAACAATCAACCTTTATATGTAGAACTTATCATAAATGTAATTTTCAAGGCCTAATTTGTTTGTTTAAGGCGTTAACAGTAATAAAAAATAATTGGAGTTTCCTTGAGTTTATCAAAAAAAGTATCAGATTCCTATTTTTACTATAAGTAAATGAATTAGGGGGAAATAATAATGTTTTCAAAAGACATCGGTCACACTGTTACTTATTCAACAGTCCTATCTGGTTTAGTGTGATTTGTTTGAATAAATTTGCAAACTAAGTATTTCTAAGTCTGCCCTCCTTGAGTAGAAATAAATGAAGATGGAACTTGTGATCTTCACTGCTCTTGACCATATTACAGGTTTGGGGGTTGTTTGTTGGTTTGAGATAGGGTCTCACTATGTAGCCCCAGATCAGCTGGAGCTCACTATATAGACCAGGCTGGTATCAAGCTCAGAGATCTACCTGCCTCTGCCTCCGGAGTATGTAACCTTAAGTTTTGAAAGACACGTGGTGATGAAACTTGAAGATTTTCTTTGCCTGTATCTGTTTAGTAATCAGAAGCTATTATCTCATTTCTCTTGCTTTGATTTTAACCTGTTTGTAAACTTCATGGTGACGTTTCACTCATTGAGCTCCGTGTCTCTGCAGAGACTTTGTCCTAATCTGAGTTTACTGTGCTGATTTCTCATAGGTTCAGAGAGGACTGTTGATCTGTGTTTCTTCAAGGGAGCTGATAACTTCTTCGCAAAATGGATGTGCGCTTGATGTCTATTTTCTTACAGTGGACAGAGGTATGAGAATGTCATCACAGCTCATTGTTTTGTTCAGTGGATGTAAACTGGTAACAATGATGAGAATGGGACCATCGATGGACAAACAGACAAGAAGGGCAAAAAAGCACATTTGTTTTGTTTTGTTTGAGGGGCTGGGGGTTGTTGACTCTGCTTTCGACATGTTAAGCAAGTGAGCTATACCCTCAGTTGTTTTAGTGTTTTGTTTTGTTTGTGGTGCTAGGGATTGAACCAGGGCCAAGCACATGTTAGGCAAGTGCTCTACCACTGAACTGTGCCCTGAGCCCTTAAAGAAAAATTTTCATCCAAACCCCGCCCCTCCAAAAAAATTTAATTTAAAAAATGCCATAGTGAGTTCTTTGTAAGCTAATAAAAAATTAAACCTTTTTTTATATTGAAATAGAATCTGGCCACATTGCCCAGCTGGCCTTCAACTCATTCTCTTCCCAAGAAGGTCCTGACCTTGCAATGTTCCTGCTTCAGTCTCCAAAGCAGCTAGAATTATAGGCCCAGCTCAAGAAGCATGATCATAAATTGGCCTATATAAATGTTCCATTCCCTCACTCTGTCCAGTGTTATTGTCTGTAGCTATTTGCCTGTTGTAAAATTTAAAGTTAGGGGCTAGAGAGATGACTCAGCAGTTAAGTGCACTGACTGATGTTGCAGAGGACCCAGATTTAGTTCCTAGCACCCACCCACATGCTGGCTAACAGCTGTCCATAACTCCAGTTCCAGGGGATCAGACACTGTCTTCTGACCTCCACAGGCATTGCACACTCATGGTGCACTTATGTACATGCAGGCAAAACACACGTACACATAAAATAAAAATAATTTTTAAAAAAACTTTAAAGACTGCAGATATGGTGAAATTTTTAAAAAAGTAACTTCAAATGGTTTACAGACTGATTGAGAAGGGTAGACATGATACACACATAGACAGATGTACAGAGTTCGGCCATGGATACAGAAATTTGTCGGAAGTAGGATGGCCAAATAGGGAAAACAAGCTGCCTTTCTTTCTCACCCAACCACCCCCGCCTTTCTGTAGTGTATATTCATTGCACAAAGTGGTGGGTTTCCTACAAGTATAATGTGATGAGGCCATAGTCTCCTCCCATAGCTTTGACTCTTCCTCCCAGCCTCCTACTGGTCCCTTCCCTCTTTCCATCAGATAAGATCTCACAGGGGCAGTAGTCAGTGCATGACAATATATGTAAAACTTGTGGGTCCAATCAAATCTGGACAGTTCCTGCTGACATTATTGATATGGGAGAATTTTCGTGAGTCATTTATACAGGCTTTTTGTAGGAAATATGTGCAAGAAATATAATTCTGGCTCTTGAACCAAACTTAGTCTCATCACAGTCATAGCTCCTCTAAGGACATCGAGAAAGAATAAATGTTCAGGCATCTCAGAATAATTTACTCACCTGCAGCTTTTAGAATCCTGTACAGTTTGCAGCTCCACTTATTCTTATGATAATTTCATAGGTTCCCTATGGGAAATCAAATCACATGCTATCACAAGGCAGTATTTGGTGCTAACAACTATGCCCAGAAAACCAAACTCTGAAATAACGAAAGTGTCCCTAAGGTTGGGGGCAGTTGATAGGTTCCTCATTAGTGAAAGACAGCACCCATTAGTTAGACTGACGAGAAATATAAGCTGGGCACAGTAGCAGGTGTCTAGAGTTCCAGCTACTTGGGAGGCTGAGACAGGAGTCTTCCTTGATCCTAGAATTGTAGTCCAACCTGGTCAACAGAGAGAGCCCTGTCACAAAAGAAGAAAGGAAGTAGGCAAGTGGATAGCTAAAGCTTGCAGAAGTTGATCAGGACAAGATGCAAAGAATGAAAATAAAACTCAGTGGACAGATGGCCCCTTAGAACACCTTCACCAAAAGGTCAAGCTAACAGAGGAAATTTTACATAGATACATCAAGCTTGCTTGACAACTTTGTCAAAGCATGAAAACTACCAAAGTAGGGACATGGTAGGTGCAGGTAGAAAGTTTGTAACTGTAGTAGGTTGAAATCTGAGTCTAGAAGATAATAAGGAGCCTTTGAAGGAACATGACTAGTTAGACCATAAAGTCTCAAATAGCATTGCTAAAATAGAGATGCTAGAATCTTCCTCAGTTCATCTTCGGCTTGATTGTTCTAAGATTGGGGAGCTGTCAGAGCTTGATTCCTGTCTATCACTGGAAATGTTTGATTGATAATCTCTCTTACGACCTAAGTTCCCAACATGCTGTTAATCATTGTCTCATTTTAATACAATGTGTTTCTATTTCTCTTTGTTTTGCATTTTATTCCACACACTGATGTTTGTACCAACTGCACTAGTTGAGTTCATGTGTAGCTGGTAGAGGGAGAAGTGTATCGCAGCTCATTGACTGTGAATCCAAAATTGCCAACTTAGCCTGTCCCCAGCCTGAGGCCTGGATAGCTAGATAGGGACTTCCATTGAGACTGAAAGGCAGTGCTCTGGAGAGTTTCCTGAAGGGCAGTCAGTGGGGCTCCTGGGTACATGGCAAAGCCCTACTCTCAATACAGAAAGTTACAAAAGCACTTAAAAATAGATGTTAGTTAAATGAAAACTGATGAGGCTTGAAGCATAATCATATCAAATCCTTAGTAATATTTAGTATGGACCTTCTTGGAATCGAAACCAACCAAACCAGAAAGTATGCTTTGTTTTTTATGAAATAAGCACACTGTGTAGCTTGGCTGGCCTGGAACTCATAGAGCTCTGCCTGCCTCTGCCTCCTGAGTGCTGGGATTAAAGGTGCTTGCCATGCCTGGCAGTGAAAGCTTGATTTAAGAGCAGGAGTGTGAGGTTTATAGAGTTTCTTTCACATTTGTCCTCCAAGGACTGTTCTTTATAAGCAGAATTCATCTTTACCTTTGTGGAAGGAGAGAACCTCAGTCTAGATATATTACTTCTTTTGTTTATTGCTTTGAACTGGTTCATGTTGAGTTATATAGGCTTTCCACATTTAGGTTTTTATCTACACTTAGATATTTATTGTGGTTTTTGATACCCACTAGCTATAAATAGTATCATAAATTCTATAAAGTATAATCATGTTTTATATGTATATGAAGACAGTAACTCTGTATCTTAATTTGCTTTTTCATTTGTAACAATGAATTTCACATTCATACTTCCCCCATGGATCCTGTTTATAAACTGTTAAGCCAGGGCTGGCAAGATGGCTCAATTTATCTTATTATCTTATTATTTTTATTTTATGTGTATGCATGTATTGCCTGCATGTAGGTAGGTGCACCTGTGTCGTGCGATGCCCTATTTTATGTGTATGCATATATTGCTTGCATGTAGGTAGGTGTACCCATGTCGTGCAATGCCCTAGGAGGTCAGAAGAGGGTGTTGGATCCCCTGGGACTGGAGTTACAGATGGTTGTTAGCTACCATGTGGGTGTTGGATTCAAACCCAGGTCTTCTGCAAGAACAACCAGTGTTCTTAACCGCTGAGCCATCTCTCCAGCCCCTAAATCAGTATTTTTTAAATGTTAAGTCGATGTTAATAGTGCCTTAAATTGTGAAATTACAAAATCAGCTAAGTTTATAATAGATTTAAACCTGAAAGCTTGGTTTACAGCTTAAAACTTTAGGTAACTAAGTTTAAAACAATAAATGCACAACAATTCTTTGTTACAAAGAATTTAGTGTGAGGAGGACTTACGGTATTTTCCAGTGGGTTTGCTTATGAAACAAAGAGCAGGAAACAAAACCTCGTGTGTTCCCGAGAGGCAATGGTATTTGAAGTTCCAGCGTGTGGTTCATTCTTGGAATTTAGACTTTTCTCAGTGAGTTTTATGTAGGTGATCTTAACTGTCAGGTCAGATTTGAACAACACCTGGCTCTTTTTCCTGTATGAAATTCAAAATTTCAATTTGCCTTTTTGTTCATGCTTGTATTGTTTAGTTTGCTTTTTTAAAACCCAGAGACTGGATTAGGAACAAAAGCTAAGAAGCTAGGCTATGGTGGGGCTTTTGTTTTGTTTTGGCTTGGTTTGGAGACAAGGCCTTCCTGTAGTCCCAGCTAGTCTGAACTCATTATGTAGGCCAGGCTGGCCTTGAACTCAGTTCTCTGCCTCCTGAGAGCTGAGATTAAAGGCGAGTGCCACCATGCCTAGCTAACAGAGCTTTAAATACAGAGGTTGCTAACTAAATAAAAGATTGATGGTTCTCTGCATGTTTGTTTTTCACTTCCGAATGTTTTTTCCTCCCCCAACACAGTTAATACATTGCTAAATGTGAAATTAAGTGAAACTGAAAACGGTAAGTACATCTCTATACTGGATCCACCTGGAGACTTCTTATCATCCCTCAAGCCACGCTTGGGGGCCAAGTGACAGGAAGAAACATGCAGTATCACTCTAACTCCGGAACAGAAGAAGGGTTAGCACTGTATTCTCAATTTGTATGTCTTTGTGAAAAAGAACTGGCTGCCAACAGCAAGAGTGCTGAGGCAGGTGTTGTAGAGCAACATGGCACCTATGGCAACAAGCAAGTGTTACAGCTGGATACCCATGGCCCATACACACACCTGAGTTCTGAAAAAGTAGTTTCCACATGGTTTCCTGGTATAAAATGAAGGCGATTTTCTTCCCCTTCATCTTGAATACACAGATCTGAAACATATTTAGGCAGGTAAATCCTGGATCCCATAAATAACTGCAGCTAATCAGATGATGGTGCCTGGTCCCCTGAACTGGGGACCTGTGATGGTTTGAATGAAAATGTCCCCGATAGGCTCCAAGGGTTTGGACATTTTGCCCCCAGATGATGGCGCTGTTTGGGGAGGTTTTAGAAGGTGTGGCTGTCCTGGAGGAAGCACGTCACTGGTGGTGGGCTTAGAGAGTTCTTAAGCCTTGCCAGATCTCCAGGCGGTCTCTTGTTTCCTGTGCCTGCTGGAAGATGTAGCACTTAGCCTCTGCTCCTCCTCTTCAGCCACCTCTGCCACCATGCCTCCCTGCCCTGACGGACTGTAATTCCCCTGGAACTGTAAGCTCAAATAAACTCTTCCTTCTGTAAATTGCTCGAGTCAGTGTTTCTATCACAGCAACAGAAAAGTGACTAAAACAGGACCCATCACCCTTTGTCCTACTTTCTCTGTCTTCCACTTGAAAACTTGAAAAGTGCTATCTGTTCATAGTCATTAAGAAAATCTTAACCATATTTCAAAAATTGTATACATTTAAAATATGAAGAAATTTGTAGTCATAGAAAACATATTTCATATTCTCAAATGTACATGATAGGTAATAAAAATGATTATTTTTATTAAAACTGGGTAAAATCCAATGGAAACCAAGTGTAACTGTAAATTTTATTTCAGTGTTTTGGGTTTCATTTGTTTGGTTGGTTGGTTTTTGTTTTTTTCCAATACTAGGGATCAAAGTCAGAGCCTTATGCATGCTAGGCAAGCAGCAGTGTATGAGGTTTACTGCTCTTTAACAGTATCTATAGAAAGCTGCATGTGGTGGTATAAGCTTGTATCCCAGCTCTTGGGAGGAAGAGGCAGGATGATTAGTTCAAAGCTATCCTTAGCTACATAGCAGGTTCAAGGCCATCCTAGATTATATGAGACCCTGTCTTCAAGCAAACAAATCCCAGTATTTATGATGATATAATAGGCTACTTAAGTTTTGAGAAAGCCATACATAGAGTTCATGGATTTTCTGCTTATGGTGCAATGATATATGCTTTATGTTAATTATCATGTCATTTAAAACTTTTTAAAAAAGAAAAGTTGGGGATTGGGCTGCGTGTAAATGTTTTAGGAAGTTCTTTTTGCATTGAATTAGATTGCTATGAAAGGGAGCAAAAGGTAATCTTGTTACAAGAATAATTAGTTTTCAGTGGGCTTAATGATTTTTAGTCCTAATGTTATCATTTGATGATCTGTAGCCTTTACCAGGTTTTTTGTTTTGTTTTGCTTTGTTTTTGTTTTTGAGACAGAATCTCAGGTAGCCCAGGCTGATCTCAAACTCAAGGATGACCTTGAACTCCCAAGTACTGGTGTGTATCACCAGGCCTGGTGCATTAGTCACTTTTCTGTTGCTGTGATAGAAACACTGACCCAAGCAATTTACAGAAGGAAGAGTTTATTTGAGCTTACGGTTCCAGGGGAATAACAGTCCAGCAGGGCAGGGAGGCATGGTGGCTGGAGGTGGCTGGAGGAGGAGCAGAAGCTCAACTCTCACATCATCACACAGGCACAGGAAGCAAGAGACCAACTGGAGATCCAGCAAGGCTTAAGAATTCTCTAAGCCCACCCCAGTGACGTGCTTCCTCCAGGATAGCCACACCTTCTAAAACCTCCCCAAACAGCGCCATCATCTGGGGACAAAATAATCCAAATACATGGAGCCTATGGGGGATATTTTCATTCAACCCTTCACATCTAGCTCACTGCCAGTTTTTCTATTGGGGAATGCTATATCCTGAACATTTGTGCCCTCCCCAAAC